TATTTTGATGCATTGTAGAGTAGATTTACTTTCGTGTTTTTATTTTTATATTATTTTTTTGCCTTTTTATTTTGTAGTATAGATTTATATTCTTGCATAGTTTTGATTTCTTTTTATGTTCTTTTCTTTTTGTTTATAGTTTAGATATTTAATCTTTATTCTTATGTTCCTCATTATAGTTAGTTCTTATTTTCCTTCTCTTTCTTTTATTCTCTCTGGTCTAGATTTATCTTTTTTATTTTTAAGATGTGGAACTAATTATTGTAGGAATTCTAGAATTGTATGAAACTAGTTTTATTTTTTTTATAATTTGTGAATTTTTCTCTTGCGCTTAAAATAATCACATTTATTGTAATCAATTAGAGAACTAATTGGTAGAATAAGAATTTGATAATCTACACTTATTTTTAGTGGTTTGATAGGTTATGCTTATGAATTGTAGAATTAATAGCTAGTTGTTATTTTTTCATGAATGTTAATCTTACTTGGATGATAATTTGATACGTTATATTTTCATTAAGTGGTTTGATAGTCTATACTTTATAAATCTTAAGTAAAATCTGATAAAAAGAGAATAGTTCATAATTTCTAAATAAAATTAACAAGTGGATTCAATTATAGGTTCCTCACTTCTCTAATTGATCCTCTATCTTTTACTTTCTTGATTTTTCTCTTTATTCTTAAATTTTCTTTATTTGTTCTTGATTTTATTTTCCTCTATTTTTTCATCTTTTTCTTTCTCTCCTCTTAATCTAATTTTGTTTTATTTCCATATAGTCACAACCATTCTTTTTATCTCTCCACAACCACTTCTATCAATCCCAATTGTCACACACACATCTTAAGAAGCAATTTTGATTATTTCCTATACCTTCCTTATGGGATTGATATTTTTCTATACTATAACTTGATAATTATGCGCTTATAACTTTAGCTATTATTTACCCCATATCAGCAAGCTCATGTAGGATACATGAAGTTGGGAATGTGTTAAATATAGCATGAACCCACAACACTACTAATGGGTGTGAATGAAGCCTACGATGATTGATATTGCATGAACTCCATAGCACAACCATTTGAATTCCTTCTATAACTAAGATTAGGAGTTCCATTCTCTTCAGACATATCTATACACAACTATTATGCCATAGAAATAAACAGGTATTAATCACATTCAACTTGTTGACACATGTACCAAGCAGACTACACCCCAACCCCAACTCAATGCAGACAGACCAAAAGAAGAGTCGTCCCTTCTCGCCAAGCAGAGTCAACAACTTACAAGGCCGACTAAAAAGGCTGTACTTGTCATCCCTTCTCGCCAGGAGACGTCTTTTCTTGCTAGGCCAACTCATCCCTTCTCGCCAGGAGACGTCTTTTCTTGCTAGGCCAACTCATCCCTTCTCGTCAGGCTAAGACAGACGTCCCTTCTTGCCAGGCCGAATCGTCTCTTCTCGCCAGGCTGAGTTGTCCCTTCTCGCCAGGCCGAGTTATCTATTCTCGCCAAGCCGAGTCAACCCCTCTCCCCATGCTAGGTCGAAAGGCGGTCATCCTCGAGCCCCATGCTAACAGCCAGTCACCGTCACATTAAATGCATTGTCAGAGTCATCATTGCTCTAGCCCCTATATATTTTATGACTCATCAGGCTCCATCAGCATCATATTTCCTCTGTTGCCATCACATTGATTATAAAGGTGACTCATGTCACACATAGCCAACACATGTAAAGTAACTGCTGACTAAGCAGTCTGCTTAGACTCGGTCAAAATTACAAAATTTCTCTCTGTACCTACTATAAATAAGGGGACAGTCTGTAGCACATGGGTAAATAATCTCTTTCTAAAAAATACACTATCTCCATATTACTTCTCCACTCAAGCTCAAATACTAGCTTCATCTCGGAGGAAGCACCAGAGAACCCAACTCTAGTCCTCTAACGTGTTACGGTTTTGTAGGAAGTTCAGCAGTCTATTGGGAGATTAGCCATCAAAGAAGATCAATGGACCCTAATACCTCCATAATCCATACATAAACCCCATGTTTGATAACTGACATCAATGACAACAAATTCCAAAAATAAGTCATCAATATCAACCATAAAAATATGATTTTTCATACCAGTTTTTACAAACAAAAGCTTTCAAAAGTGGACTTAATCACAAAGCATACCATAATAGCTGGTACCAACAATTTAAGTAGCGAAAAAATTAACCGCATCATAGAGCACACCATGATAGCAGGTAGCAACAATGTTAACCGCATCATGATAGTAGGTACCAGACATGGAAGTTCAAATAACAAAAACATAAAGTACCCTACAATACCACGTAAGTGGATATAAATAAGCAAGAAATACAAGTGCATCACAAAATGTTTCAAGCAAGCATTCCTCAATCTCCAGTCTCTGTTAGGTCACCACCGCCGTCCACATTGCTAATGCTATCTCACCTCTATTTGCCTTCCATTCACTTCTAGTATGTGTTTGCTCCCTTATGTCAAATTTTATGTGAAGTCAACAATGTTGTCAACTTCGTCATTTGCTATTTCACCATCATTATCCTCTACTTCAACATCTTCATTTAACCAATCATCATCTGGGTCTACAGTTGCTATGTAATTTTGACGCACACAACATGCTAATACAATGTCCACTTGAGTTTCGAAAGGGTAATGGTCTTAAAATGATTCTTCAAGATTCTAAAAGTAGACTCAATTTTACACCAAATCTTGGAGTATCATAAACTGAACAATTCCATCCTATTATTTGGTGTTCTTCCTCTATGTTCATTGAGATGAATGAATACCTCGATATGGAGAGATAAATCTGGGCATCATAGTATATGCAGCATTGCATAGATAATATTTTCCTACAATGTTCATAAAAAAACATTTTGTCCTCAATAATATATAATTTGGTTATAGTTATCTTATTATGCATTTTAAATTTTTACTTACCCTTGTAAGCTCTCAAACCATGTGGTTGTGGTCTAGTTAGAGCATCTTGTACTATCCTAAAGTTATTTGCGGATCTCTCTCATCTTGCTAGCACATAATACGTAAACAATTAATTAGGAGTACATGCTGCTAAGACATTTTATGTGACACATTTACGTCCTCTAAAACATGTCACCATATTAAATGATATCATAGCGTCAATTTGTGTTCCATCAATCATGTCAATACAATCCCATAAGAAGACACATATGTGTCTAAATTCTAATAAAACTTCTAAATCCATTTCTTTAATTATTTAAGTAATGAACATTACCTTGAAATAAGGTTAAAAGAGAGGATTGTTGGCAATCTCAAGGGGGGTACTTCATTTGGTGCCTGCCTGAAGTACTGATCATGTGAGTGACAAATTGCATCCAAGGCCTTGTTGAAGTATCCACTCACAATCTCCCCGGATCTAATAAAATCAGTACGTATAACTCTATTTTTTATGGCCCATTATGATCAGAAGTATAGCAAGTGGAATTAGAACAATCTAGGGTTTTTTCAAATAGAAAGTGAAGGAGAAGAGGAAAGATAAAAGGGTGCGAGAGAGAGAGTGAGGCGGTAAGCTTTAGGTTCCCCAAAACTTCTTGTTGGAAACCCAAAAAGCAACCCCCTAATTTTTTTTATATTTTTTTTCACCCCTTTCCAGCCCATTTCTACACCAAAAGAGCAGATTTGGGTTTTGTTATTCTTGCTTACGTGGCTGCCGTTTTGGTTTTGGGCCAAAGTTTCTTAAACCCAAATTGGGTACCAATGAAATAATAAGAAATTGAAACCATCAAAATCGGACGGATTCCTACTGTGTTAGCTTTTTGTTTTCCTAATCAAGGGATTTCACACCTAAACAAACAGCTTTTTGGTAGCTCAAGAAATGAAGGGAAAATATCAGAGAAACTGTGTTTGTAAGACATTCCTCGTTTGGTTTTCACCTTGAAACAAGGTAGAAGGATGATATGACTGACATCCTCAGATTAATGGATGTGATCCCTACTTAGAGAGGCTCATCTCATAGTTTTTTGCAATAACATGGGAGGAAACTACTTATAATGATGGTTTCCTCTATTTTCTTTTTCTTTTGGTTTCCGAGAAACCAACCAAACAGCCCTAAGTCACTATTTATAAATTTGCTGTAGTACCTTATCCTAAGAAATTATGAATCCACTCCAATCCTAACATTTGGGTGAAAACCCCACACATTATTCATACAGCTTATGCAGCTCATGTTCTTGGCAACAAATGGTTCGGACAAGATACCGTGACGCTTACTTACTGAAATATGAGTGTTGGATGGACTAAGGAGTTGGATTAGCCTTCCGACTTCTTACATGTAAAACAAGCCCCATAATTTGCTAGCTGATCGCTCCTTATTATGTACCAATTATTCAAGAACGTTCAACAGGCTTGCGAGTTCCGCAACTATGCAATGGACACCATACAACATTCTCAACAAAGCAACGAAGAAGAGAAATAGGTAGGGGTGTTAACGGAGCGGATACGGCTCGGATATGACACTTACCATATCCATATCCGCTTACCCATCTCGGATACGGATACGGATATACGTCGGTAAAAAAAATTCATATCCATATCCGCCAAAATCGGATACGGTTACGGATATAGATGCGGATATATAAACGGATATGCATGTGGATACAAAAAGGATATGAGAAAACTAGATAGTATTTAGAAAAATATAGTCATGTGATACAAAAAGAGTTCGTTAATATGTTCATTATGATTGAAAAGCTAAGATTAGACATCTTGATCATCAAAATTAACCACAAATCCATAATCTAAGAATCAAAACTATCGTAAGAGTATTACCAATATGTATTCGGATATTTTCGGATACGGATACGGATATTTCACAACAAAACCATATCCGCAACCATATCCTATCGGTAATAGATTTGAGTAACCATATTCGTATCCTAACGGATACGGTTACGGATATTTTCTCGGATACGGATACGGTTTGGCACCCCTAGAAATAGGTCAGTGTACAATCAGCAGCCTTATATGTGCTCACGGGTAGCCGTTTTTAAATCAAATTTTTTCAGGAGATACATTTCCAACTTTTTCTACGTCTATACATTTCCAAACTTTTTCTACGTCTATACCTTGGTTAACAGAAACTATTACCTTTAATACCTGATGCTGTAATATGTACAACAGCTCCATTCTTTTCTCTTTAATACCTAACATGTACAGAAGTTAGTTCGGCCTTCGGTTTCCCTTTGAAGATCTTTTGCTTCTGGTCGACGAAGGTGGAGGAGATGGAACAGGCAACAGAGTCCCACCTTGAATTCCGCCAGCATCTCCCATGTTGTCCAGAACTTTCTGGGCCTCAACAAAAACAGTAAAATCCCTTATCTGCAACATTAACAAGAGTGTCATCAGTTCCCGTTACTAGATCAACATTGAAAAACTGAGCTTGGTTTTACCTGTTCTTCCAAATCACGGATTTTCTCGTCTTTCAATCTGAGATTTTCTTTCTCCCTGCGAGAATTAGGTGTTTAAATAAAAGTTATGACATACTATGTTTCCACAAGAAAAAAAAATCCTAAGAAAATGGATATATTTTAATACACATAACAAGTAGTGAATGACGGATAGGTTAACATGCAAAGATTGTAAAATTATACTGGAAGAGTTTAACTACAAAACATATGTTGATGGTATTAGATATTCATATTAAGAAGTAAAGTAGAAGAACTAATAGAGAACAAGAAATTAATTTAGAACTAAATGGTGGAGCTTAAAAGGAGAGAATTTAGCTCATTTTTAAATCGTGACTAATATTATGTATAGTATATCTTCTCGTATTAAGAATGTAGCTAAAGTTATACTAGGAAAATCTAAAAGTTGTAGCTTAGATGGTAAAGAGAGTTGATAGTAGAATGAAGAAGTTCAAAAAGCGAATAAAGAGGAAAAAACATTATATAAAGATTGGTGAAGTATAAGAGTGAAAAAAACTTCGAGAAATATAAATTAGCAAGAAAGGAAACAAAAGAAGGCGGTTAGTGACCTGCATACAAATCATATGAGAATTTCTCTAAAAAGTTAGAATCTGAGGAGGGAGGAAAAAATATAAGCTTGCTAAGATAAGAGAAAGGAAGAGTAGAGACTTAGGTAATATTAGATGTATCAAGGGTGAGATAAAAGACTTCTAGTAACCGACGAGGAAATACAAGAGAGATGGAGATCTAATTAGATGTATCAAGGGTGAGATAAAAGACTTCTAGTAACCGACGAGGAAATACAAGAGAGATGGAGGGGTTACTATCGTAGCTTGTTTAATGATAACCAAATAGGTGAGTGACAAAGAGAACTTGATTATGTAGTGCATGATAGAAAACATAGATATTGTCGGAAAATGGGGATTAGTGAGGTTAAAGGTGTTTTAAAGAAAATGAAAACTGAAAGTCGTAGGACCAAACACATTCCTATTTAAATTTGCATATGTCTTAGAGATATAGGCTTAGAATGGTTTACTAAATTATTTAATAAGATTATTGAGACAAATAAAATGTCTGATGAGTGGAGGATTAGCACATTGACACCGCTATATAAGAACAAGGGAGATATATAGAGGATTAGCACATTGATACTGATATATAAGAACAACGGAGATATATAATGTTATTTAAATTATCGTAGTATTAAACTCATGAGTCATACTATGAAGCTTTGGGAGAGAATAATTGATCACAGACTACGTATGGAAAAAAGTGTATCCAAAAACCAAGTTAGCTTTATGCCCAAGAGGTCAACTATGAAACTATTCAAATATTGAGACGGTTAATGGAAAGATATAAAGAGAAGAAAAAGGATTTATATATAGTTTTCATTGATCTAGAAAAAGCTTATGATAGCCTAGAGAAATAATGTGGTGAGTTTTAAAAAAGAAAAATGTATCTAGTGTATGTATTGATATGATTAAAGATATGAATGATAGAGTAATAACTAGGGTAAAAACAAATGAAAGAGGAGCTAGATCGTTTCCTATCACCATTAGTTTACATCAAGGTTCGGCCTTCAGCCCTAATCTTTTTTGCATTAGTTATAGACTAACCTACTAAGCATATTCAAAATGAAGTCTCGTGGTGTATATTATTTGCTGATAATATAGTATTAGTTGACGAGACTAAAATCTATAGTAGAAATATGAAGACAAGCTATCAAAACTAAAGATTTTGGAATTCAATGAACAAAATAGAATATATGGAATGCATATTTAGGAAGATTAAAAAGAGAAAAGAACCTATAGTATATATTGATGGTTAAGAAATATCAAAAGCAACCACTTTTGCTATTTGAGATCAATCATTCATCATGATGGTGACATTGAGGATGATGTTATTCATCGAATCAAATCAGGATGACCAAAATGGAGTAGTACTTCGGGAGTCTTATGTGATCATAAGATACCTATAAGACTAAAGGAAAAATCCTATAGGACAATTATAACACCAACAATGCTTTATGGGTCAGAATGTTGAGCAATTAAGAAACATGTGACAAAATAAGCGTAGCAAAAATGAGAATGTTACAATGGCCTTATGGGTATACACTAAAAGATAGTATAAGAAATGAGTGCATTTATAGTATATTAGAGGTTGCTCCAATCGAGGATAAAATAAAAGAATAGACTAAGGTGGTTTGTTTATGTACAACGGAAGCTTCTTAGTGTACCACTTAGAAAGTGATAATATTGCAGTTATAGGACAAAGAGATTTCGAGATAGACCTAAAAGAACTTGGTTGGGAGCAATTAAGAAGGATATAATAATGGTTAATTTCACAAAGGAGAAGACCATAATAGAACGGAATGCAAGAATGATTCATGTAACCAAACCCCAAACATTTGGGATAAAAGCTTTGTTGCAGTAGATGATGTTGTATAACAAGTAGTGAATGGGTAGGAGACAAATTAATGCCAAACAATCAGCAATATTGCAACCCCTGATCAAATTAAGCTATATACTTATATAATATCATTAGCAAGATCTGCAGACCGCACCTTGCCAAAGGCTGTTGTTCTATAAATCGAAAATTTAAATGAACATGATCCTTTCCGTGTTTTATTCTTGGGGACCTAAAATTAGGAGTTTACTTACTATTTTCCCACATAATTCAGTCTAGAACATAAAGGAAGTTATATATTACGAGATACAGTAAACCATCACAGACTATAAGTATCAACATATACAGCAGAGACTGGTACCTGTCTTCAATTTCTTTGATTCTTTCACGCCAAATGTTCTGATTTTTTACAAGGCTCTCATTATTCTGAGGGTTAGAGAGAAAAATATAATTAGAGAGGGAATTGGGATATTGTTAACCAACTAAGTTAAGCAAAAAAGTTATTGTATGCTAGTAAATTCACGAAAAGAAAACAACTGGCAAGGGTTGCCATAAACTAAACAGCACAGAGGAAAGGAAGTTTACATCAGAAACAATTTTCTTTTCCTTCATAACAGCTTCAATCTTCCGCTGGAGATCTTGCATCTTCAAAGTTACAGCCTTATCTACTTCTTCAAATATGTATTTTCCCCTCTTTTCTTTAGTCTCCTCAAGTAGACCCTCATAATACTGCCATTGGAAGAGACAATAAATTAGGCTAATGTCACACCCAAAGTACAATTTTAACCTCTAGCATCGATGCACAAATAGGGTTTGAAGAAATGAATATAAAAGGCACCAATGAACAGAACAAGTAATACCTGTCTCTGACTTTCAAGCTGACTTGCAAGCAGACGGTTATATTCATCCACCATCTATTGTCATATATCAATTGAGTTAAAAAAAGTATATAACCATTGGTATAAAGGAAGAGAACCCATTGTTAAGAAGAGAATATTATTTTTTACCGCTTCAACTTTGCTGTTCAACATAGTTGAATAAATTCCAGGGTCTTCTTCACTGCATGTTAAGCTTTCACAATTTTCTGTAGTATATCTACAGTTGGACTTCAACTTGTCCAACTTATCATCACCTCTTGATTGATTAAGTCGATGGACATAACTGTCACCAACATAATCCCAAACACGTTGTGTTTCCAAATCAAGAGAATAACAATGCTGAGTGTCTTTCCAATGTCTAACAGCATGCCCTTCTTTGTATCTGCACCAATAATGGTTAATGACTAAGATGATAATGATAAATGTTTCACTGAATAAATAGTAATGACATGGATTAGAAATTATTAATAGTGCTGATAAATCACAGTAGAAAAGAAAACGATACCTGCCACAACCTACAAAGCCACAAATTACACAGCTCCAGAGGTTCAAGGAAGTTCCACAAATAGAGCATGCAGGTTTCTCAGAATGCTCTTGACAAAAATGACAGACCTACAGGGACAAACAAACTAGTTTCATAAGCTTTCACCTTTTGGAGTTGACAGAAGAATATACAATATATAACTGAATAATTCTTTTCTAATTATGCAGGTTCCTCAAAATCATTAGAATAATAAAATGTTTGGCAGATAAATCCATGTTAGAGTTCCTAACCTCCACCTAAGTCAGTAAAATATGTATTGGTTCGCGCATCTGGCAATCTTCTAGCTTTAGGTCTACTCAGGAATGGAGTAGTAGATCTACAAGCTAAAAGGCTTGAGAATCAGAGTCTATTTGGGCTGATTTCGACTGGACATAATGACTTAAAAACGTTGAAAAACTTGTTGGAACCACTCTAGAATGTTTTTGGCAGTTAAGTGGAGCCCAACAAGCAGTTTAGCTTACAATGTATGTAAAATACTAGGTAATATGGACATGGCGTTTTGGATGCCGTGTCCGTGTCCGACAAGTGTCGCGGTGGACACGCCATGGACACATGTGGTTCAAAGAAAATCCGATTTCCCTTTACTTATACCCTAAACTAATTTCTCTAGTAATATCAGGTTCAAAACCAATTGGTTTTTAACCCAAAAATTGAAACACAACTTAAATATTTGAAAGACACCCATCATATTATCTCATGCGGTCAAAACTAAACTTTTTGTTGTTAAGTCTTATTCTTGGTTTGATTTAACTTAGTTCTTACTTGTTATAGATAATAAAAAGAAACATACAAATGTTATCGGTATTTTCGTTCAATATTTGATCATGTGTGTATTATATACATTGTCCCCATATTCTACGTTTACAAATTTGTCGTGTCCCATGTCTGCATCCGCGTCCATACTACCCAGGTAGAATACTAATAAGCTGGCATAGTAAAATAAAGAATCCACGGAGCACTTAAGTAACTCTCCTTACTAGGATCTGAACCATGACTGAACTGGTTGAAGTGAATCGACTAGTCGGGTAGGATAGATAAATTTAGGCAGAAATGAGTGTGGGACTAAGCTGAGTAGTGGAATCGTAAGAATCTGTTTCAAGTGTACTCAACCCAAATTTTTAACGCCAAAACTGCTGCATAAATTTAACAACACAGGACATATTAAAGGGAAAAAACTTTTAGGCCCCAAAATGATAAAACAAAAGTAATAAAGCCCAAAGACTTAGTCAACAAGTGCTTAAGACCCCAAAATGAAAAAGCGAATGTGTTTAGCCCTCAACATACCTTGCCATGTCAAAATCTTTCATTTAAAACCATTCTACCCTCATTTAATGACATGTCACTTCTCACGCATGTCTTAACCTTCACATCCAAGTAAAAACAGCTCCTTTCCTCTTCTTTCTGGGGTTTTATGCAAAATTTTCAAAGGGTTATTTGCAATTTTTGAAACTTCTAGGGCATTTTCTGCATTTTTTCAGGGGATTATTTACAATTTTAAAACTTTTGGGGGTGTTTTCTGCAACTTTTTGGAGTTATTTGCAACTTCTAAAACTTTTTGGGCGTTTCTTCAACTTTGTGAGGGGTCATTTGCAATTTATTGAACTTTTGGGGGTTTGCAATTTTTCAGGGGTTATTTGCAAATTTGAACCTTTCCAGGGATTTTTTGCAATTTTTTTAGGGTCATTTGCAATTTCTGATACTTCATGGGGGATTTTCTGTAAATTTTTAGTGGTATTTGTAATTTTTGAAACTTTTTGGTTGCATTTTTGGGAGGTTAGTTGCAAGTTCTATAACTTATTAGTTGTTAAACTTACGAGTTAGTTGGTAAACTAATGATTTAGTTTTTAAACATGTGAGTTAATAGTTAGACTTACGTGATAGTTGTTAAACTTATTAGTTACTTGTTAAACTTATAAATTAGTTATTAGCTTTCTAAGTGATATGTTAAACTTATGAGTTCGTAGTAACTTATAAAATAGTTGTTAAACTTACTATATCTTCAAATTGTCCAAAACTAACTTCAATTTCATTAATCTAATAAGTTTAACAACTAATTAATAAGTTTAACAGCTAATATGTGTCGCAATTTCAATTTCTATAACTTTCAAGAGGTTAAACTTATTATTTAGCTACTAAACTAATGACTTAGTTGTTAAACTTACCAGTTAGTTGTTAAACTTACAAGTTAGATATTAAACTTATGAGTTAGTTGTTAAAGTTATAGGATACTTGTTAAACATATTTTTTGTCCAAATTGTTTCAAATTAACTTCAATTTCATTAATCTAGTAAGATTACCAACTAATAAGTTTAACATCTAAAAGTTTCAAAACTATCTTAGAAGTTTAATAGCTAACGCATAAGTAACAACTCACTCATAAGCTAAACAACTAACTAATAAGTATAACCAACTAATAAGTTTAATAACTAACTGATAAGCTCAACCCATTGAAAGTTTACAGAAATTGCGAATAACAGCCCGAAAATTTGTATAAAATCCCTCAAAATGTGTCAGAAGTTACAAATAACCCCGAAAAATTATAGAAAACTACCTATGAAGGTTATGAAATGAATAAATTTTCAAAACAGGCCGATTTAGCTTTTTATTTTTCAAAATCGACCGGTTTTTTTTTATTTACCAAAACCGACCCGATTTTGTGATTAGCAGGTTAATCACTATACTAAATAGTCGGGGTTGTCAACCCCGACTATTTAGGAAGGTGTTAAACCCTAATTAAATGCCTTAAACCCTAAAAATTAATGTTCTAAATAGTCGGGGTTGGCAACCCCGACTATTTAGGATAGTGATTAGCCTGCTAATCACAAAATCGGGTCGATTTTAATAAATAAATAAATAACCGGTCGATTTTGAAAAATAAAAAACTAAATCGGCCTATTTTGAAAAATTGTTCTTATGAAATTGCAAAAGATGCCCAAATTTTGCAAAAAAAACTCCCAAAAAGTTCCAAAATCTGCAAATGAACCCCAAAAATGCTGAAAAGCCCTAAAAAGTTATAAAAAATACAAATTGCCTCAAACAATTGCAAAAACCACACACAAAGTTTCAAAAATTACAAATAAGCCCTCAAGTAACTGTATAAACTCTCCACAAAGTTTTAAAATTTGCAAATAACCCACCTAAAATTTTGCATAATCCCCCATAAAAAAGAGGGAAGGGGTTGTTTTTTTACTTGGATGTGAAGGTTTACACAAATGAGTGAGAAGGGAAGAGGAGAGATGACATGCCATTAAATGAGGGTAGAATGGGGATATATTAAGAGTTTTGACATGGGAAGATATATTGGGGGCTAAACCCATTTGCTTTCTCATTTTGGGGCCTAAGCACTTGTTGACCAAGTCTTGGGGCTTGGTATCATTTGCTTTAACAATTTGGGGCCTAAAAGCATTTTCCACCTATATCAAAAGATACTAGGGGGGGAGGGGGGTTATTGGTTAGGACAAGTTGGGGCTATATGGGATAATTGGTATCATTTGCTTTAACAATTTGGGGCCTAAAAGCATTTTCCACCTATATCAAAAGATACTAGGGGGGAGGGGGTTATTGGTTGGGACAAGTTGGGGCTAAATGGGATAATTGTTCCAATGAAACAATTTTATCCCTTTAGGATAATTTTAGTTTAAAGTTGAACAATTTAAGATAATAGGACAATTTGAAGCTTTGAATTGACAATTCATGTTGGATAATTGATGATGTGACACCTTATTAAAGTACAATATTTATCTATCAATTAAGTCTAAATTAATTTACCTAATTTGGTTTAGTATATTATTTGGTATGTTATTATAATATAATACACTATTTCACTTTATACTAAAATATAATATATTATATTATAATTACTAATTAATTATAACTATATTTAATGTTATTAATTAATATAATATATTATATTATAATAATATGATATATTACATAATAATTAATATAATATGCAAACAATATATTTAATACAATATTTCAATAATATAATATTTAATCAAATATTATAATATTTTGTTTAATTCAATATAATATTATTTAAAATATTACATTATTATTAAAAATATAATATTTTTTATTTTATGATAATTACTATAATTTAAATAGAATAATTGATGATGTGGCTCCTTATTAAAATATAATATTTATAATAACCATAAATACTATTAATATGTTCAATATTATTAATTAAAAAGTATTATTAAATAGTATATTATATTACATTAATCTTATATATATTATCGTACTTTAATATGTAGTAGATTATTATATTTTTTATTATAGTAATAAAATATTATTTAATATTATAACTACCACAATATTGACAATATATTTAAGACTATTAATTAAGTAATAATGATATATAATAATGTTATATCAGATAATGTTATATAATATTTTATTATCTTTCGTTATAATAGAATTTTATAATATAATATAATATAATAAAGATATACTATATATTATAATACAATTAACATATATTAGATATTTAATAAATTAGTGTTTCAAAATTATCCCACTTTCCTCATGATTGTCCTAAAGTTAAGAATGAGATAATTTTTGGAGGTTGGGACAAAACGTTTGTATTGAAGTGGGATAATTTTGGGAAAAGTGAGGATAATTGTCCCAATCTCATTGTTTCAATGAATAACACCTTCAAGTGAAATCACAATCTCATTGTCCCAATGAATAACACCATAAAGTAAATTCCCAAAAATTATCTCATTTTACCCCAAAATTACACCAACCAATAACCACCCTAAAAGGGAAAAAAATCATTAGACCATACAACCTGTGCACAAGAATGACAGTAACAGGAAGTGCCATCCCTTCCATATCTTAAGGATATACTATCTATAGGAAAAAGCAAAGGAGCCCAAACTTACTTGGAACTAGAGCTCTTATTCAATATTTGACGTACTATTATTAGGGGAAAATATCAATGCTTTTGACAAACAAATTCTTGATCATTCTCGCTTCATGTACTGATTACTATGGTCATCATGGTTAATTGATAATATCACATAAAACTAAATGGGAAGCAGTTTGACTTACAGAGCAAGATGAATTAGCCCATTTAGATATGCACGAACACTGGAAAGAATGATCACAAGTGGTTGCAATAATCCCACTAATATCCTGATCCAATCTCTCTGAGCCATTGAATATGTAAAGGAAATCACCGTTAGAAAGGCTCAAGCAGAAGAAGATGACAACCAAGAACTTGCTAGGGAAGTCTTAAGCACACATATGAAATAAGACCTACACAAAAATTTTCAATTTTACATGATAATAAGACCCACACATAATGTGTGTGCAATGCTTTTCCATGAGCAAATGCCAAAACATGTACATAAGTAATACACACATTTGCGCATGCAAAGAAAAGTACAACCCACCAAAATATCCAGAAATACGCTACTCACATGTGCCAGCAAGACGGTTTTTTACATCACATTATGAAAAACATGTAGTGATTTAAATATATGCATGCTTTACATGTAGGCTTCAGCCAATTACGATATTAATTGCATGACCTGAATTAGCACACATTAGCAAGAACAGTAAATTTCTTGACTGGATGAATTAGTTTAAAACTTATAAGAATTGGGGGAGAGGGACTAATTTTCAAGCAACTTATAAGAATTGGAAAACCTAATAGCAACTTCAATCGTCTGAGGCGCTAATTCAAAATATTAAAGATTTAAGGGACTAATACTGAAAAAAAACAAAAACAAAAGGTACTATTAGCTCAATTGTATGACATAAATATTAAAAAAGTCCATTGAGGCATATATAACTGAACTGCTTATTACTACTTGGTTTTAGTCTTCTAGTAAATCAGATCATCTGATGCAATCATCCCGCCATAGATCTCATTTTGCAAAAATATAACAATGAACCTTAAGCGAATCGAGGATAGGTGCTGAATGACAATTGTAGAAATTCCTCTACATCAACAAGATGGATGTGCATGAATTGTTGTCAATCTCAGCACAATTTCAAATTTCATGTTATTTTTTATTTTTATGTTATTTTTATTTTCAAAAAGGGATGTATGTTGTTGTTAAGATGTTGATGGATAAACTCGAAATATAAAAAAAGTGAAAAGCCCCCATTAAATCTCAAAGAAAGAAAAGTTGTATAATGGACTTCCAACAGGACATCTTCTCTAACTTCTATTAACCAGCCAATACTTCTCTTGCCTTCATTTATCTTAGAAGCAAGAGTAAAGATGGATACCTCTTTGAATAGGTGCAACAGGAAATAAGATCTTACCAAGGCACACAGGACAGGTGGGTAACTCTGTAGAACCTGTAGGGGGAGTACCAGCAATTTCTGTTGATTCAGTAAACTCAACAGGGTCTAAAAATAGTATATGGCAAACCTCTCCCTGCAATTTCAACCAACCAAAAAGCTCCGTCAATTAATTGGAGGGGAAATTTGGGGAAAAGTGGACTATTGACACAATAATATATATAATCAAGAACCTCTGCAGAAGGGTAGCGCCACCCATTGAGTTCAAGATAGAAGGTGTCAGCACTCTTCTGCTCATCAAACTTAACCAGGACACTATATCGGTCTTCCATAGCATCATTCCTAAAAAGTGAAACGCCATTATCATTTGAATAAAATGCAGAGTGAAGTCATTTAATTTAGGAGAAATATCTTGGAGCTGGGTACCATTATCCTTCTCTAAAGGAGTAACCCTTCTTAAGAGACTAATAACAATGAAGAGAGACAAGCAGTGGTAAACACAAGCAACTAAAAAGACTCATGAATCTTTGAAGAAGCTGCGACAACCTCAATGAGTCACTTTATCAATGAGCACGGTAAACTTCACTTAGTATGAGAATGTTCAATAATACCATAAGTTGGTAACTTTTTGTAGATTTCGAAAGAACTTAAATCATGATTTTCACATGTGTTTTTGGATATATAAGATAACATTGAAATTTCTTTAAAAAAACATGACGCCAAAAATTTCTGCTATATACATACATATGCATTTCAATAAAATTCACATGAGGCTGACATGAGGCTGATAATACATAAATTTTAAAACATAAACAATATACATATTACAAAACACTAAATTATGATTTATAACTCAAAACTAGATGGAGTTCTTTAGACATAAAGTACAAAAGGGAAAGAAGAATTCAAGTATGTCATGATTCTGAACTACCCAATGTACTCCCTAACAACAACAACACAAACAACCATCTCTGCCTGTCTCCTCCAACTTTTCCATCAACCTAAAAATGTTGGTTGTGATCACAGACTACCTCTACGATTAGAGGAAGGAATACCCGATTTAACATGTGGTAAGGAAAAATTATGTCAAGGCCAAAATTTAAAACTTGATGTGTCTCAGCCCCCCGTATTATTTCCCTTGTGTTTTAGCCCCAAATACGCTGCACGTTTGTGATTCAGCCCTCATTTTACCCTTCCCCAAAAAATGTCTTATAAATATTCCGAAAATACCCATCCTCTCCTCCTAACCCTCCTCTCATTTGTGATTCAGCCTTCTCTCTTCCTCTTTCTACTCTCTCTTCACCCTCCTCTCCATCTTCATCTTCTCCTCTCCCCCCGACGTCTGCCTTCCCTGCATTGCCCTCTGTCATGACTAACCTTGAGCTCATGCTTCTTAGTTAGTATTTAGTAAATATCAAATAAATTTTGTAACAACTTGTTAAGTTTATCCATTATATGTTAAGTCTACGCCTTACATGTTAAGTTTACCCCTATCATGTTAAGTTTATCCCCTACATGTTAACTATATCCAGCACCTGTTAATCATATTTAGTATCAGTTAACTATATTCAGTATTTGTTAACTATATTCAGTACATGTTAAATATACCCATTACATGTTAACTATATCCTATACTTGCTAACTATATCCATCACATGTTAACTTTATTTAGTATCTATTAACTATATCCAGTACCTATTAACTTTAGCCAGTACCTAATGTGATGAGGACAATAATGACAATTTTCCATATTTGTTATTTAACTTTCTTTTATTTTAGTTTTGGATAAGGAAGATTTAGCAAGTTTGACCAGATCTTAATTTAGTTTTAATTGTGAGAGATTTGATGGATTTTCTATTTTGGTATGATTTTAATTTCGAATTTTGAATTTTGGGTCAATTTTGGTAGTAGAGTCAGGTGTGGCAAATTGAGTGATTTGAGGGATTTCAGAATCTGCAATTTTTTTTCTTTAAAAGATTGTTGTAATCAGATTTTTAAGGATGAAGATTTGAATCAATGAAAAAATTTTGTTAACTCATTATTGGTGTGAAGCCTCGGGGGTGAAACCCTAGGCCGACTCCCTTGGCTCCTCTTCCACAAACAGCCGCCACTCTCCCCTATTTCTTCTTCGTTTTTCCAAACAACCGACCCCGCTCTTTTCCTCCTCCAGCAGCCTCCGCTGTCGCCTCCTCCCCTGCTCCCTTCCACTTCGAGCAGCCCCGCCAATCACCCCCACTTCGAACAGTCCCGACGAACTTACTCCTGCTCTCCTCCACCTCGAGCAGCCACCCTTTCCTCCTCCACAAACCGTCAGATCCACCTCAAACAACCGCCGTTGTCGTCTCGCATGCGTCCACTCGTTGACCACGTTCTCTCGTCACCCATGTCGCCAGTTTACATGTTGACCCGTCACCCTCATCGTCGCTAAGATTCGTCGCCGTCGTCATCGCTCAGTTCGCCGTTGTTGTCATCGCTCAGTCGTCGCCGTAATCGTCGCTCAGTTTGCCGCCGCGTCGTCATCTAGTTTGACGTCATCGCACCACCTCCAGAGATCCCTCATGTCGAGTATGTTCAGGCCAACGAAGGTTTTGTTTTCTCTCTATTTTTCTGTTAATCTCATTTTATTAGTTAATTGCATGAGTATTCCATCTCTAAACTCTTATCATATATTCACTGCTTAGATTATATTTGTGAGTTGAGAGTAATTGAGCATGTGACTGTTAAAATTTGATATTGATTGTAGAACTTGTGCATGATAATGAATATTACAATTAAATTGATTGTGATGAGAATTATTCATAATTATTAATGCAAATTTTGTTAAATACATCTGTCACATTAGTTGTTTTAAATTTAATTCCTGCCAAAGATCATGAAATTTGGTGAAACGATCTGTTATTTGAATTAAACCGCTGATTCTGATAGACCTCATGTCTCATTTCACATCATAATGTTTTGTCATCTTTATTTTTTACTTCAAAGTAAATTAACATTAACCGGGTAAGATCCACAGCTAATCTTTCATAATTCATAATCAACCCATACAACCGTAAGTTTGTATAATGTTGATGTTTACATACACACAACTACATTACAATATCGCCATTACATTTTCTTTGTACATGATGTGTAACTATTACATACCCCCTCTTTCGATTCACAATCCTTCTCTCTACATTTTATTCAATTACTCTCTCTCTCAATCCACAATCCCTTTCTCTACACTATACTCCTTTACTCTCTCGAGTTTCGGTCGTGGCTACCAACTCTTAACAAAACACAAATTTTAAACAAATGTAAAAGAATCATCTTTTTTCCCTCAAAAAACATCATTGTCTTGTCAACATTCCCACATATTGAATATATATCAACAAGATTAGCAACAACAAATGATCCTAAATCAAATCCAACACTTATCATATTATCTATATTCAGTATTTGTTAAATATACCAATTACTTGTTGATTATATCTAGTACATGTTAACTTTATCTAGTACCTATCAACTATATACAGTAGCTGCTAATTTTAGCAAGCTTCTATTAACTTTAGCCAATACTTAAGCTTTATCAATTTTATTTTTGCTTTAAAGTAAAGTTAACATTAACTGGGTAAGATTCATAGCTAATCGTACATATTTACAATTAACCCATACAACTATAAGTTTGCGCAATGTTTATGTTTACATACACACAACTAGATGAAAATATCTCCATTACATTTATTTATACATGACGTGTTATTATAACATATTCCCTCTCTCTTGATACACAAACCCTCTCTCTACACTTTACTCCTTTACTCTCTCAAGCTTCGATGATGGCCACCAACTATTAACAAAACACAGATTTCAAAGAAGTACAAAAGAATAATCATTTTGTCCTAAAAAAACACTCTTGCTTTCTCACCGTTCCCACATTTTGAATACATATCAATAAGAGTAGCAACAACAAAAGATCCTGAATCAAATCCAACATTTATCATACATCCATGAATCTCCCTCCCCAATCATTTAGCTGCAATCTCTCCACAAGCATCCAAAACCTAGCAAAAGTGAAATCATTTGGTTTAATTCCACACCTCAACATCTAAAGAAACAACCCCAAACTTTTATTCTTCCTCTTCACATAAAAATACCTCTCAGTCAATCGCGCTCAAGCTTATCGATGATGGATAGCGTCACGTAGAGGTGAGATATCGCTAAGTCTATTTAGGTCTATTACGGTAAAATAGCGATAAAAACGCAAAGTCAAATGACAGTAATCTAATTTAGATATGTATACATTTAAAAAAAGAAAAATTAAAGAAAAATCTAAAAAATCTAGAAGTGCATATTTGATGATTTAAAGAGATCCTAAATATGAAATAAACATGTAACCATCACATAATACTGAAGATGACTGGAGGAGTCAGAGTCATCATATTCGAAAAGATAAGCTGAGTGATGAGAGGACTGTAATAGGAGCTCATGACGACAGGAGGTGATAGGAAGAGGAGATGACAGGAAGTGCTGAGGGAACTGCCAAAGAATGTGGGAGGCAGCGGGAATAAGCTAAAAATCACGGGAGGCAGTGAGTTGTAGTGGTTACAGGTCAGGTTTAATTTTTAAAAAAATAAACCTCAAATCGCCTTTAAGTAGCGATCAAGAAGCTGATTTTGCTCACAATCGCTTGCCATTCACCGCTATGGCACGCTATTGGCCATTTTTGCGAATGAAAAGCACATATTTCGCAATACGTCATCACTATTGGGCAATAGCGTAGCAGGAAGGGACCGCTAACGCTATTAGCGTCACAATACCGCTATTTATAACAGTGATCGCGCTTAAAGAAATCACATCTCTCTCAGTCATTTCGTCAAATACTTACCTAACGTTATCAATTTTCCCACATTTTGCATACATTTCAACAATCTCACTCAATGCCACATTACCAATTCAACTCCAAACTTCACAACGTGATGCTACATCTCCTTCCCAAATGTCAATGACCCAATTCTCGTGGCAGCAATGAGAGGAATACGCTTTGATGAGTGTTATGGAGCAGAAGTCACAGGAGGAATCATAGGCAGAGAGGGGGTGGTCGAGGGACTAGAAGATGGCAATGAGTTTGAGGAGATCTTTGTCATCAGTCATTGGAATCGAACTAGTTAAGAATGCACTCGAGGTTGGTGGTGACAGAAGGGCAGCGAGAAGAGATGACGAGGTCACAGGGAAAGATGAAGGAGAGGGTCACGGTTGGGGGTAGGAGAGAGGAGGAAAGGAGAAAGGATAAAGGTTAAGAGAGAGGAGAAGACAAAGAGAAAGGACGAGAGATGAGGGAGGAGAGGAACAGTGCCGACGTG